GGCAACCCCATCACGGCGCTTCCGTATAAAGAATTTCGCACGTACGGGGTGTGAAACTTTATTTTCGCAGGTTGGAGCGCGGCGAAATAAAAGCGGGCAGGGAATATGGCGACAATGCCACGCCAGGCGCCGCGTTCGACCGCTTTACGGCGCCGTTTCTCTCTCTAGCGCTCTTTCTCTCCAGCACCTTCAAGGACCGATAACTCGTAGGGGCGCCGGGTCGGCCTGGGCGCGCCAGAGGCGTGGTAGTGCAGTGCGAGTGCGGTACTTAGTGGTTGTAATCTTGAGAATAACGGGGAAAACAAAGTTGCACTTCTCCTTCCGAAAACGAACGGGTCAGAGCTATATTTTCTAAAACCGAAAATAACGTCGTTTAACTTGAATAAGCAAGAGAATATTTTCACAGACGGGTTGTCTATTACTTCCTAACAATTCCACTCACAGAGTCCTCTAAGATAACACAATTGCGTCGGATAATATTAACATAGTCTGTCGCAAAAACAAATAACGCATTTTTAATTTGTTCTTTTAGACTACAACGAAAAAACAAAATGAAACGTGGGCATTAAAACTTGGTGGTAATCTTAAGGCTTCATGATTAAGATATTTGAAGTCATCAGAGCTTTCCAAATGGAAGAAAAACTCCCTGTCAGGTAGGCAACATGGCGCTCGCCGCGCACGCCTGGGGAGCTTGCTGCCTACCCCGGGGTCCACAGGCGCGCTGAACTCCCTACCGGGTAGGCAACGCGGCCATCACCGCGCACGCCTGTGGAGCTTGCTGCCTATCCCGGGGTCCGCAGGCGCGCTGCCGCTCACACAGTCTGGCGGACGCGCCACGGAGTTCTCGCAATCAATCCACTAAATTCGAGGCAGATGTCCACTAACGTAAAGTTTTGTGCCAGTTTGCCTCGGAAGGACAAGGGGGCTGTGGAGGGGAGGAGAAGAAACCGGCGGCGGGGGAGCCAAGGCCGTCAGGGCACCTGTCATCCCAACGCCGCGTCACGCCGCACGGCCACGCCAAGCCACGCTCTACCGACGGGATGGAGATTGGAAATGGAGAAAGCTTCAGGGGGCGAAAGGGCGTCGCAGAGAGGAGCTGACGGCAGAGCGGGAGGGAGAGAGAGAGAGAGAGAGACGGCAGAGACTAATCACTGGCAAAGCAGTGCTCTAGCCTCGGCAGCCCCTCGGCCCTCCTCGCAGGTGTGTGCGGCTCGCCCGGCCCGGCTGGGCCCTTCAGGGGCTGCTCCGCCACACCGCGAGTTGGGTTGGGCCCCCTCAAACCCCCCCACACCACACCACACCGAGCCCAACGGCCCAGCCCCACAAACGACTGTCATCTCTCCCACTGAATCACCGCGAGTCTGTTACCCACCGTAGCGGTCGTAAGCCCCCCCTCCCACCGCCGCCAGGCCGCTCACTTCCCCCTTTTCTCCAAAACCCCTTCTATTTTTTTTCCTTCCTCCTCCGCGCTCTCTTTCCCGGCGCCCCCTGACTACTCCCCGCCCAACTCTTCTCTCACCCTACTGACAGGAAGAGGGAACGGGTTGAGGAGGGCTTGGCAGAGCCCGGGCGGAGCGCACCCCTCACTCAGACGCTGCGCCTCTCCCCCTCCCCGTCCTCCCGCCCGCCACGCCACTCCAGACGCAGCTTGGCGACGACTGATTGGAGGGCCCTCCACTCCCGCCAGCACCTCCCTCCTCCATCCTCCCCCTCGTCCCTCCCCTCCTCCATGCAAATTCATCGCGAGCCGAGGAGAGAACGCAGCGCAGCGCCACTCATCAAAGGTAAGCCGGTAGAAAGGCTCCCGGGCCTCCCTGGCTCTGTCCGGGCGGCGGGTGCGTAGCGTACAGAGGACCTCCGGGAGGCCTCCACGGGGGAAGGGATCCCACATGGAGATGGCCTCCAGGAGGGACCAGGTTGGAGTTGGGGGCGTAGGGGGCGTTTTAGGGAGTGACCCGCAGCAGAGGAAGAGCATGGAGCGGGGACCTTCAAGGAGGGACTCGGCAGAGCGGGACCGCGGGTCGGGGTCGGGTCAGCCAATTCTGGGCAGAGCAAGACGCCATCCTTTCGTGCTGTGCTGAGGGGCCCAGGGGCGGCACGGCGGCGGTGCGCTCTACCCCATCCTTCATCCTGCCTTGCGGGGAGGAGGGGGGGGGGGCAGGCCTAGGGCTGCGCATAGCGCTGCTGCTGCTGCTGTGCACCCCTTTCCCGTTCCACATGAATTATAGGCGGTCTAGGCTAGACTCTCTGGGCGGGGCGGGGCGGGGCAGGGCAGCGGGCCGAGTGCCCGGCGCAGGACAGCGCGCGGGCGGTGAATCAAACAGCCGCCCGTAATGCGTAAGCGATATCTCAGCCAGGCCGGACCAGCCCAGCCCAGGCCAGCCTGTGCGCCGAATGGAAGTCAAGCGGAGCGGGGCTGAGCAGCCTGGGCATCCCTTGCTCTCCCTCCCTCTGCAGCAGCGACTTGCAAACAGCGCCCCCGCCCCGCCCCTCCCCCCGGCGCGCCGTCAAAGGGGCCGGGGCATCACAGGACCATCAGGGCCAGGGTAAACGTCCCACCGGCCTGCCTGCGCCCGGCCGCCTCGGGCCGCCGCTGCATCGAGCCATAGTAGTAGAGCCACTGCCGGCGAGCCCTCGTTATACACAGCGTGATGACGGACAGGGGCGGCGCCACAAGATGGATACGCTGGGCAGGGCAGCAGCACGACGACGAGCCCGCTATGGCGTCATGTACGACACACACACACACACGCACACAGCTGCACTGCAGAACGTCGTAGTCGTCGTCTGCCCATGACAACCATTATAACAGATGAGCCTGGAACGGGCCCAAACGAAACACGGCCAACACGTCGCCGCGGTGCTGCGGGGGGAGGAGGAGGGGTCCTGTGTCTCCCACCGACCCCTCGCCGCCACCGCCGCCCCGTCCACCCCCGCTGGCTCGTCTTCCCCCCC